ACCTTGCTTAGGTGGCACCCACAATCACCAGATCTCAATCCAATTGAGCATTTGTGGGATGAAGTTGAAAGAGCCATCAGGCAGCTGATTCCACAACCATCAAATCTCACAGAACTGGACAGTGCTATTCATCAGGCATGGTGTCTGATTCCTTGCATCACCTTTCAATATCTCATGGAGTCAATGCCAAGAAGAATCGCCGCAGTATTGAAGGCAAAAGGTGGCCCAACGAAGTACTGATGGGGTGGTCATAATAATCTGGCCACTCGGTGTATATTGGCATGTGAGTTACTAGTAACCAGAAAATTATTGGTAAAATCATTCCCATACCAAAGAAAGCTTTTCAGGATTTTAAGAAGAACTCAAGGTTTTAAAAATGTAACCCTTAACAAGAAGGAGCTACAGTCTTGTACAAAATGTTGGTAACACCTGGTCTAGTTGCATGCTTAAAAACATTGCAGTGGATTCACTAAAGTGAATGTTAGAACCTGATTGGTTGACTGAAGTAAACACAGTTTCATCAGATTTACAAAGCTACATTAACTTTGCAAACTGACCATTCAAAAGCCTCTATTTCTTCAGTACATCAACCCCACTGCATTTGAACAAGGGGTGCTTATATTTTGCATAAGACTCTAGGGCAAAGTGACAACAGGTTTCCTTTGTGAATTGTATAGATTGTATACAGATAACAATTTCACAAATGTTGTATAAATTGACCTTCATTCTTTTTTCTATCCACTGCAAATCTGTGTTCATGTGTTGAAAGCTGGCTTTTAATTTTTAGTGTAAAATACTTTCAATGGTCATACTGGGTTTAAAAATAACAGGTTACAATTTTTTATAATTTTAAACTCACAATGGGGCAGCTACAACTAAAGCATATCATGAAAACGTGCATAAGTGAGAGAAACTGAGTATCCAACTTACCTTAAGAGCCTATTCAACCTTGTCGCACTGCACTGGAACACACATTTTCATGGGTTGAGGCACAGTGGAGCATGCTGCATTAGGCAGCCCATTTAAATTAATAGGTTGCAATGCACCCCAACACATGAAAATTTACTGCTTGCTGCATTTTTTGCTTGCACCAAAATTCTGGCACTAAATCAGCCTAAGAAATGTTTGCGTCAAATTCTAAAACTTACTTCGCCATTTTCCAGACCTCTTCCCATTCCTGGCTCAAATTTAAGTACAGTAGTTCTCTTTTGCGCCATATTTCATTCTGGTGCTGCGCTTGTGACATATTCAATAAACAAACTCTGACAGTTCGGTAATAAGAAAAGTGATGCAAAGTAAGAACAACTACTTTTTGGCTTAACTAGTCTGTCGCATGTTCATATTGTATCGGTCTGTCACAGTATGCAACACATACATCAGGTCCTTGAAACTGAGCATCCAACTGAAATCTGTCTCAGACACATATGCCACACTTTGGACAGAGATGTAACCTATCTATATACGTTATCAGTGTGCAAATATCTGTCCCAACATTTGTCTCACAAGCCAGCACCAGTTTCATAGGTTTGCACCAAACTAATGAATGCTTTGCAGCCATGTACATGAATTTGGAGCAAATAACGACACTATTCCTGTAACCCTGAGGCACTTTTCTTATGTGTCTCAACCACACTCTTTTTGAATTCCCCTGATAATGTGTTGTGGCACACTGTGGTGCATTGCAGCACAGGTGCATTGTGGAGGAGCATTGTAGTGCCATTCAAAATACATAGCATTGCAACACACGTATGATGCATTATCACTTGTTGTAGTAACACGCTTCTGTGAACAAGCCCTAAGTGAAAACCAATTGTCAAAGTGATCGAAAGATCCAGAGATCTAGGCAGCCAAATGTATCTGCAAATCTCAACTTTTCTAGAAATATCAAGCCTGGCCTTAAAGTAACACTAAACTCAGGAGTGAAATCTTAAAAATGCATTTAAGTACCTTAACTATGAACAAAAATGTATCTTATTGGTGTAGATCCTGAAATCATCTCTGATTTTGTGCTGACACTGTCCTACCCTTTGGAGGATGGCTACGTTTGTTCTCCATGGTCCCTATGTGTGTTGTAAAATAGCCACTGCTCCAAGCTCACTCCCATGATGGACTACAATCTTACGATTATTTACACATTTGTATTGCGATTTATAATCCATCACAGGAGCAAGCTTGGAGTGGTGGCTACTTTACAACACACACAGGAACCATGGGGAACAAAAGTAGCTAGCAGTATATCAGGCAAGAGTGGGACAACATTCCTCTCCCAAAACTCCAGCAACTGGTCTCCTCAGTTCCCAGATGTTTACAGAGTGTTATTAGAAGAAGAGGGCATGCTACACCGTGGTAAACATGGTCCTGTCCCAGCTTTTTTGAGACAAGTTGCTGCAATCAATTTCATGATTACCTTATTTTTTTCTTTAAAATTGTATATTTTCTCAATTTAAACATTTGATATGTTTTCTATTTTCTGCTCTAAATAAAATTTGCAAATCATTGCATTCTGTTTTTATGTCGATATTTCACAGTGTCCCAACATTGTTGGAATTGGGGTTGTACATTTTTGTTAATAGTTAATGTACTTGAAGGCATTTTTAAGGTTTACCTCCTAAGTTTTGTGTTACTTTAACACCTAGTACCTGTGTGCCCTTCCTTTTGGTCTTTTTGATGGGCCTCACTTGCCAATAAAAAATAGGGGAGGCAAACTAAAAATTAGCTTTGTTTAAATTGCACAGGTTTGTGACAAGTTTGTTTTGTTTATGATTTTTTGCAAGAGATAGACTGCTCATGCTTATAGCAATATTGGCATTTTAAAGCTCTGTAGGTGTCTACATTTCTGGCAGCTTTCCTATGGGAAGTGAGCCAATGCTGCAGACCAAATACAAAACAAAATGAATGCAAGATGTTGACACAAATACACAATATGCTGTCTTTAAAGTATATCAGAAAAAATGTTTGTTGTATAGCATACCACCTATGGAATTACAGAGCAATAGCCATTAGTGGGTTGTGTCTAGCAATGTGCACTTTAAGAGTTTCTTGGATAGGCTTAATGTGGCCAGACATGTGTGCAGGCTGACAAAGACAAGGCAATTAGCTCCTGTTAGCTATATAGCTATGTCTGGATGGAGTGTTGCTAATCCAGAGCTCAGGAGATTGCATAAGTACAACAGTGGTGTTTGCTAGTGTGTGATCACAGTATTGATCTTTATTACCTAGACACCGAGTTATATTTACATTTGGCATGCATGAATTCCTACAGGACCTTCTATAGGTCAAAGCCAAAACATATACTTAGTTTGATGCCCCCTCTTCCCACCCACCAACACTATGATCTCTTTTCTAAAAAAAAAAATCCCCTGCCATACTGTTCTAACTTCTACTGTTAGAGTAGAAGAGGCATAAGTAGAGGTAAGAGATGGTAAGCTTGCATGCATTGCATAGTTTTTATTCTGCAAGAAATGTGTTGAAGAGTGTATGGAGAAAGGGAATGCATTGGTCTTTGTATGATATTGCAGGTAACACTTAAAGCTGGTTCTCAATAGTTAATGCAGAATATAATGCTTTATGATGTTCTTAGTGTATGTCCATTTTCGCAGCCAAATTGGGATAACACCTATTTTATATTTGTTACATGTTCCGATTCACATAGCATACGCTAAAAATTTTTTTTTACAAATGGTTCTTTCAAATTAGTTTCACATGGGTTAGGGTGTTAGGGGTTAACATTTCTTGTAGCCTCTATCTCTTTGAAATGTTTGGGGGAGCTGTGAGGGGCCTAAGGTGGCTTTAATGAAGCTTATCAGATAAACACAATCCTCAAATTTCAGTCCCAAGTCTTTCTATAAGGACAGACCACTGCGAAAGGGCTAAGAAAAACCTGGAATCAGCCAGGGTAAGACTTTTAAAAAAGTTATTTTTCAGTATACTGTGTGAATAGGAACACATAACGAACATATGGAGGGGTTTTCTCAAATTTGAGAAAAGTGGAAATACACTTTAAACCTTTGTACATTTGTAGTACGTGACACATGAACATTATTCACAGGCTGAAAATCCAGGTTACAGCACAAGTATTTTACACAATTCTGACATTTTAATGACCCCCTACTTCCTGTCCTGTCTATTTCATATAGAATAGAAAGAGGGAAAATGATTCATGGCTGTCTGTCTTCACTTTTGATACATTTCCCCACCCTGTCTAGGTATGAACTGTCAGATAGTACAGGAAGTGAATCTCCCCAGTAGGGACACAAACAGCATTTAAAAAATAACAGAGGTTCTATCCCTTCCACAATTTATTCAAAACAAAAGATAAACAAAAAACTCAAACATTACTTATAAGCATCAAGTAAACATTCTTATTCAAGTATGTTTTAAAATCATGTAATATATATTTACAAATAAATCTACAAGAATGTATATTATTAACCATATATTTATAATCAACAGTTACATGTGGACCACATGCTTATGGTCTGTTCTAGCAGAGTTTTCTTTCCAGGCAAGTTTAAATGAGAATAAAATGCTGCAATAAATCCATTTGTCTTTTATTTCTTCAGCTTTTGTCAGAATGTCCATGACCTTTTCAGAAAACTTTTGTTTGCGTCTAGAAGGTGAGCAGAGAAGTTTTATTGCTAATTAAAGTAGCGATTAGTTACACTGAAAGGTCAGACAGTCCCTCCTTTATTCTTAACTAATCCAGATGAAAGTCAATCCCTTTTAAATTCATTTAAACTGGATTTAAATCAATTAATAGCTGAAAGATTAGTTTTCTCTGGCCTACTGAAGCCCGGTACAGTCTTTTTATATTACATAAGAAAAATATTATTCCTTCAAGAGAAGGCTTTGAAAGATTGTACCGCTTATGTCTTACTACTGCCGTTCTTATCATGATCTCTGAGAGATCAATAGGAAAATCCAACATGACATCTTCTCACTACAGAAAGGCATCGTCTTGTAGTAAGACAGGTAAAGATATCCTACATAGGCAACATTCTTCAAGGAATACTCTTCCGTCTTCCATTTTGTATTGTGTTTAACACTTTAGAGAGATCAAAGCTTTTTGAAATGAGCTCTAAAAGGTCAGGATCCTTTTGTATCCCACAGATAAACTCTTCTAAAGTCAGTTCCCCTAAGTAAAATAAAAAAGACACCCTTGTTTAATGTATTACATGTACAAAGTAATTTTCACAAGCAATGCATAAGAGGCGTTTTGTGTTTTCATAGCAAAATATTAAATATGGAAGCACAGTAAGCTAGCATATCTTCCCAAGATAACATTTTTACTATTTTTGTTAATTTTAATGACATTTTCTTATTTTAGCTTCCAGACAATTTCATGATTATAAACCCTTCTTTAAATATGGTTTGCAGGTTGAGGGGTGTTATATATATATATATGCTTTATTTATCAGGTATTATGTGGAGGTTGGTAAGCGGATCTACTAGTCATAGGCCATATATAACATAGAGGCATGATTAAAAAAAAATAGTGGCCACAGAGGTCCCCCTTCTTTAGGGCTGAATAAAATCAGAAGATTGGAGCCTGGACTGGAGAGAAATGTCAAAAAGTCAAATAATCTGAATCTGGATCAGTTTTAGCCTTATCAAACTCAAAATAAACATATAGTAGGCTGTCATTTTTGCTTTATTTTTCCAAAAGCCAAGCATATGCTTATTCTGAGCTTGTTGACTACAAATAAAATGTAATTGTGCATATATAACATGGGTGCAAAAAATGAAAAACGGGCCTCAGTCATGAAGGGGTTAAAGAACTCTGGGCAAATTTTGGCTACCCCCGCACTGCAAGGGTTAACCACTTGTTTTGGTCTAGGGAGGAAAATAACAAAGTTACACTCATCAGATCCTCTGAGCCCTCCGGCTGTGACAGCACTTCCTCCTGCTTGTCTCCTCCTGCGTTCCAGTGATTGTATGTCCCTTGGCATCCTCTTGTCATATAAACTGTGTATAGAACATGATGACTTAAGGACCTTAGACCGCTGGAAAGGAGGGGGAGTGAGGCTGGGAGGACCAGTCTAAGATCCAGCTGACTCGGAGGATCGGGTGAGTATAACTTCTTTATTTTCCTCACTAGACCAAAACGTGCAGTTAACCCTTTCGGTGCAGGGGCAGCCCCACTGAGAGGGTTAGTAAAAATGTTGCCTAGAGTTCTTCTTGAAAGGATGCTTTATGTAAAAAATACAATTTAGGGTACATTCAAACTTGTACATTTTGGTTAATGTGCAATGTGTCACATGTTAATGTGTGTTGTATTAAAGGCTCCCATTCATTTTAAATGGGCTGTCGATGCATAGTAATATTGCACAGTTTAAAATTACTACTGGTCAAACTTCCTTCCGTTTGCCTTCAAAATATATAGAGAAAATTATAACTTATGGAAGGCAATACCACCGTGTTTTATAGTTTTCTCTATATTTTGAAGGATCCTAACTGGTTACGCAACCAAGATTATTGTGAATGTTGTGTGAGATAACTGTAGCTGTGACTGTAGAATTCTGGGTCTTCCAACTGCATCAGCAGACAGAATTTGTCAGGTTAGAAACCCAAGTGCCTTTTTACCTCCTTTGACCCTCCTATCAAAAAGAATAGTGCACTGTCATCATCTAAGGTGTACCAAATACTCAATCAAAAGTCAGGAGACTCCAAAAAGGAGAGGTTCAGAATGGCAGTCTCCACATTCATTACAAGTTTAAAGAATACCTTAAGCCACAACTCTTTTTAGCCAATTGATGTCTCCCATTGGGGATATTTTCCTTCACTTCATGTTTCATAGGTCACCACAGGAAGGAAAACAGGAAAATAAATGTCTTCAAAGTGAGGAAAGTAGAGACAGAGATCACCAGCACTCAGCGATGCATTTCAATATGTCCATTTAATTGGACAAAACGTCACAGATACAAAAGCCAACGTTTCGGGGCCACACAGGGTCCCTTCCCGAAAATATGTGACCACAGGAAGTGTTGTGGAAATTTTACTAGGATGTGTTTTTAGTGTATTGTAATGTTTTGTCATTAGTCTCTCAGTGTCTAGGTTTAAATAGGCGCTGGGGGTTAAACCATTGGAGTAGAAATCTTATGCGCGGCGGAGCAGTGTCTTCTTGGCGAATGTATGGACGCCGGCTGGGGCCCCCCGTGCAATGCATGGATTTATTGGCTTGCGTGGATACATTTGTTTGGAACGCAGTATATGAAAGGAACGTGCGTTTATTGTCCCTAGTGAGTCTGATCATCCGCTGGAGACAATGACGTTGCCTGAAAATAAGCGCGCATGAGAATCCTAGTAACGTTATGTGGCATTGATCACTGAGCAATGCTGTATAAAGTCACTCCGGTGGTAATAGATTATTCTACTACATGTGATTATTCTACTAATGTGTTTTGTTAGCTGGCTCCTGTTCACTTCCTGTCTGCCCCACTTCCTGGTTTGCTGGTTGTTGAAATCATCTGCTGGTTTGCTATCACTTCCTGTCTCGCTGTTTGAGACATCCCTTCCTGTCTGACATCACTTCCTGTTGGGCAGGTATAAAACAATAAACATACCTGTGCTCTGTCTCTAAGCATGGGATTATCAAGCAAGCAACACATGTCTCCTGACTCTACATGACTGAAGGGGATACTTCCAGTCCTTGCACAAAAGAGCGTAGTACAACGGGGGAAATTCTTTGCGTTTGGCGCAGCTTAATGCGGCATGGATTTGTGCGTTGAACCAAGTGAATTTCCATAACAGAAGGGACCCTGTGTGGCCCCGAAACGTTGTTTTTTGTATCTGTGACGTTTTGTCCAATTGAATGGACATATTGAAATACATCGCTGAGTGCTGGTCATCTCTGTCTCTACTTTGTGTCTGCACGGCGCCATCCGTGGTCATCACTGCGAGCACCATTTATTTTTGGGCCGGGAGTGCTGTGAGGTGTGCGGAAGGTCCCTCTATCCATCTACATTCAAAGTGAGGAAAATATTTTCCTAGAATGCTGTAACCAAAACAATCCCCAATGCGAGACTTTCCCTTTATTCATATTCTGGTGGCAACTGGATTTCAGCTTTTCAGGTGCCTAAAACAATAGAGAGAGTAGCTATTGCATTATTCCATGAGCTCTCATGCGATGCAGCTCTCCTTCACTCTGCCATTCCCTATATTATTGTTTGTTGCTATTAGTTCTCCTGCTATGCTTCTCATCACTCATTTCCCAAAGGGAAATTTAGGTATTGTAACTATTACCAATGATCATAAACAAGAAAAGAAAATGAGCATATCTATAATTCAGAACATACTACATGATTTTGATGTATTTTTGTAACACAACTTCAGATTAAATTGAATTGTTTACCGTCTCCATTGACATCAATTTTCTGGAACAACAAGGCTGTGAATTCTTCAGGGCTCATACCCTGGTGACCATTTATTGCTTGAACGGCCTATAAAAAGAAAAAGATAATGTTTAATTAAAAGTTACTTTAAACTGTTCTGGTAGTAACAGTATTTCTGGACCAAGCACTTATGTTCTTGTGGGTGGTAAGGCTACTTCAAGATAAAAGAAGACACAGTGGTATACCAAGAGGATGGTTTCCAATGATCCCCTGATAGTTATAGCCGAATAGAAGAAAAGTATTTGTTTGTTTTTTCCTTTCGAGGTTGGTCGGTGCAAAAATGTAATCTTTATTTTTTCAGCTTCTTTTACTTTGGTTACTGTATTTATTTGTGCAGTGAATTTGCAATGTAGATATATGTCCTGTTGTATACTCTAGATGTCATTTTTGTTAATATGTTTTGGTTTTGTGTTATTGTTGGCTTTTATAAAAATAATAAAATACTAGTGGATCTATCCTAGGAACTCTGAAGAATTCTTGTCTTAATAGAATTCCTGACTGACCATTGCTCAGTTAGGGTTCTATCTAGGGATTCACCGATACCAAGTACCGTACTCAGTACAAGTACAGATACTTTTCCCGCTCCAAGACTAGACTAGAGAAAAATTCAAACGTTAGGAGGCAGCTGTCATTAGTAAGGAGCACACAGAGCTCCAGGGATTTGCACATCTCTGTTTTAATGATGATTTTGTTTTTATAAACATATGTAAAGTGATGCACCGACACCAGTTTTGCAAGTACAAGTACTGATACTTGCCCAAGTACTTACAGATACAAGTACTGATACATTTTTGTTTATTGTCATGTGACATTTTCTCTAAAACAATACAGACTAATGATTTCAGGACAGTGGTGGAGCGCCAGAGCCGGGACCCAGCTGCAACCGCTGCAACCCTGGTAGTTCTCATGAAAATGGCAAGTATCGGCACTGGTATCGGTGCATCCCTAGGCTACCCAAGATGTGGATCTGGAGGATACAGTAAAGGGAATTTACAATAATCTTTTGAAAAGCTCACCCACCACCTCCATGATCTTGGATAGAATCCATCATGTATTTCGCCCATGTGCAATTCAAATTATGAAATAAAATATCATGTTTTACTAATCTATTGGGTAGATTAGTCCCCAAATTGGTACTATAGCCTCTACTATCTAAATTCTTTATTACATATATACATAACTACATTATAGAAACAAAATTGATCTGCGCTTAAAAAACAACCACACCAAGGTGATTAGAGCAGCTGTGCTAAAAGGTGTCAATCCTTTAGAATATGTGGATACCAAAATGCACTGCGCTACAAATCACCTCTAACTCCACAAATATGCATTATGTGACCAATTCCAAAACCGCAAAAAATATATAATTAAACCAGCATAATACAAACAATAGCATATATAAATGCATAAATAATGCATATTTTTGTATTATATGTATATATAATACATATTTTTGTATTATGTTGGTTTGATTTATATTTTTTTTTGCGGTTTTGGAATTAGTCACGTAATACATATTTGTGGAGTTAGAGGTGATTTGTAGCGCAGTGCATATTAGTATCCACACATACTTAACTACATAGTTAGATTCTGAGAGACGTAGATGCATTCTGACCTTATTCTGAAACTCAGAATTTATCTAACACATTTGGTTATTAGCCGTGCTTCTGTTCCTATTTCAGATGTTTGTCCATATCTGTGTTTTTCATATGCTTTAGGTAAAATCCTTCCTGCTTTATATAAATACATTCTGTTCCATCCCTTTTGGTGTAAGTCCCATCCCTTTTAAGTGAGATCCATAGTACCCAGGAAAAAATGCTGTAGATGTGGCAATGTTTCAATTAGACGCAAAATGTGTTTCGTTTATGCTAGGCTATACAGTAAATATAATATGGTTTTAAACCTCTGGGACTTATGCTTGAGGGTGCGTTCACACCATATGCAGTGCGTTCCGGCCCGATTCCGGCCAGAATGCACTGCATTGCATTGTAGCCGGCTCACTATTTTGTGGGCCTGGAGGGGGCGTGGTGGGCCATTGAAGTGAATGGCACCGTAGCCACGGCCTTCGGCCGCAATGCAATCGCCCGCACAGGATCGCAGGGCACATTGTGCCTGCGGTCCGTTCCTGTGCGGTCAAAATAGTGCTTGCAGCGTTTTGACCGGACCGCGGCAAAATGTGATCCTGTGCGGGCGATCGCATTGTGGCCGGAGGGCGCGGCTACGGTGCCATTCAGTTTAATGGCCCGCCACGCCCCCTTCAGCCCCACTAAATAGTGAGCCGGCTGCAATGCGATGCAGTGTGTTCCGGCCAGAATCGGGCCGGAACCCTCTGCATATGGTGTGAACGTACCCTAAGACAGGAAGTGTAATACTGGCTGGATCACTAGGGGAAAATAAAAGGGGGAAGAAAAGAGTAAAAAAAGGTATTGCATCAGATGAAATTCACTCAGTGGGTGGCCCTGTCTGGCATCTCGCAGCCGACATCCTTCTATTGAAAAATAGAAGGAGCCAGGCAGGAAATTATCCAGTCAGATACAGGTACTGCTCAGGTATTTTGACAGCCACCAGGATTAAATATATGGTATAAAATATATGTACCTAACATAACAAAAAAATTACATAAAAAACACTAAAGATTTCCTTAAAAGACACATGCACTAATTCTAACACAGGTAACTAGTTGACAAACACTAATTTATACTATTAAATTCTTATGCAACAAATGTTTTTCAACTGTACTTTCGCTTTATTTTTTTGTATAGAGACTGGCATATATTTTAATTAAATACAATGTTTAAAAATACTGTATGTACATATTTGAATTATTCATCAGGTGTTTTTCACTTTCTGTCTTTGCCATCTGCTGAGTGATCTGGATTAAACTGTACAAGAGGAGGTGCTGTTATGATAATTAAGCCTCATTTTCCTTTTTAATCTGTGACTGCAATATGCAGTGTGATGGGTTTTTTTTAGGTTAGATTTCAAAGCCACCTTTTAATAGCTCTGTAACGTTATGTGTTTAGTTTTAAATCTGAGAATCTTAAAGGTCAGCTTTTATTTGAAATGTACAAATAGAAAAAGAATAACACATTCAAATCCTGTTCAGACAAATATTATGGACTACCCTTACCAAGTATATCAATAACTCTGATGGCTATATATAATGTTGGGGGGTTTTTAAGTCATTTTCAGGCCTAAAATGTGGAATATAACATGGGTGCAAAAAATGAAAAAAGGGCCTCAGTCATGAAGGGGTTAAACATTAAAATACTAATATATATATCTTTATGTACACATTAAAACCTTAAGAATAACAGGCAAGGTCGAGTTGGCAATACAGCTCAGAGCAAAACATTTTGAAATATTTTTGTTACTGATAAAATTTGCACTTGAACATTTTTTCTCAGCGATGCACAGTGGCATAATTTGTCACAATCAGAGCACAGTACTGAACATTTATACTACTAATTTGATATTCTTCTTGCTCCTCCTAGCAATGCTCTTTGCTCACTGCCTTTTTTTTGGAGGAGTGTTCATTCTACATGTCACCAGTAGTAAGTGTAGAGTTGAAGAGTCTTCACTGGAAACCTCATGGATACTTAAGGTGCACTACCAATTTGAGGCCCTTAGGTTCACCTTAGGGGCAAAGATCCAGGCCACTTATTTACATAACTGTTGTAGGTGAACTTGGCCCAGTGCAGCAAGCCAATCTAGTTATTTTTAAAGAATAAAATTAGGTTTCTTAAGAATTCCAAGATCTGGTTGGAATTGTACTAAAATATATGAAAGCGGTGTCTCTCTTAAATAAATACTTTTGCTTGTGCTAAGACTGAAGGAAGACCCTTTAGTGGCACAAAATGTGTAATTTTGGTTATATGGTCCACAACAATTTAGGCATGGGATAGCAAAAGGCTGTAATAAAATTTCACTGAGGTGTGTGAACAAGAATATTATAGATTTAACTGGTCAGTGCTGCCGGTCATTATGGAACCTGAGACTTTCTCTGAGGACAAAGGGATCAGACTGCAAGCCTGTTTTAAAAAATCCACCAAAAGCTATGGGGCCAGTTTTTAGGATCTAAAAAGGTGAGAACCTTGTAAAGTGAATGCAGAGATACATATGTCCCTGGGAGTACCCATTTTAACTGGAAGGGCACAACAGGCAAGACACGGACTTTCCTGCTGGTCCAAATATGTAAGCTAAAAACATGAAGACAATAGATTTGCTTTGATGCAGGGCATTATGTCAGTGGAAAATTAAACCTGGAAAACAGATCGTCTTTTTTTTGTCAGCCTCTATCAATTTGATTACCCTATCTTGGTCCTAGACATTGATGGTGCTGTGATTTTGCGCTATCCCAGAACAAAAGTATTCTCCATTTTTGTCTGGATCGTCATTAACACCAGCCTCCCTGCCTAGTCCAGGATGCTAATGCTGCTAACTGACGAAGAAACTAGAAGATACTGTTAGCAAAACAACTTTTCCTTATAACATTCCAGCCTGTGTGTCGCAGCACACTTATGCATCATGGCAGCGGAGGTGATATGCCTCTTTTTGTTAAAAAATCTCCCTGGCTTCAGGTTGTGTCAGTGAGTGCACTTTCATAAAATGGCTGCCAAGTTTAAAATCATAATCCTAAAAATTCCCTGTATATGTCTGAGACCAAACAATAATAGAATATTACTTGGACCAGATATTAAAGATTAGACAGCTGCAATTCAGAGGCCAAGCCTCTGTTTTCATCTTATTTTTTTCCATGAAGCATTTGGTGCTGTCATTAACATAGAATTACATCCAATGAAGTTGGCCCATGTAAACCCATGAAGTAGATAAACAATGTATGCACACTATAGTTCCCAATATGATTTGACTAATTATTTTGAGATTTCCTAAATAGTGGTAGTCTCAAAGCCAGCCCAATAATTAAATATAAAATACTCTGTATTTTCTGTATCTTCTATCAATTAAATCCCCACCATCTGAATCAATATTAAAGTGCAAATGAAGCAACATTTGTTTCTTAGTTTTGGATAGAGTAGAGAGGGATT